CTTATACGGTCAGCTGAGTATAGGGAAGCGGCACGTGGGGAAGCCAAAGTTTCGTTACAAGGACATGATTAAAGGGAGCCTCTCACGTTCTAATCTTGATTTCAGGTCATGGGAATCAAAGGCAGTTGATCGGCGTGCATGGCGCGATCTAATTACAAAGGCAGTTGCTGAAGTGCGGGAGAAAGACCTCATGCATGCAGAGAAGAAGCGCCAAGTGCGGAAGCGGCAAGCACCGATGGGTAGTTCTCCATCGACGTCAAGCGCATGTTGGTGTAGCACATGCGGTCGCGGGTGCCTGAGTCATGCAGGCCTAGTAAGCCATGAGCGAGGCCACTCGGGACCACTACCGAAGCGCCGACGGGTTCTGCAGAGAACGTAGGCAGAACCGGCGCAGCGTTTGTAGGTACGGTGCATTCGATTTACTAACCGCGTGCTTGCATGCTAAGTCTCTTTCTTTCAGGTGGTGGGTTTTGATTTGTGTCGCAATACTTTTCTTTCTCCTACGAGTACACCGGTACAAGCTGGTCGTACCGGATTTGAGGCGGGTCGCTCACCAACTCTGTTTCGTACGCGAGGTGGTGAAAGCATGGAACGACCTGCCGCTACATGTAGATGAAGCATAGTCGGTGTAGGTCTAAGAAATCCTTGGACAAACACTTTGTCGATATAAGTATATCGAGCGCAACCCGGCATAACGAGTCTTTGCACTTGAGGGACGTTAGATGCAGTTAAACATAGGTACTCTACTCGCTGCTTCCAACCAGAGACCAGAAAGCTGATGTAGATGGGGTATTCGTCTCATTGACAACAAAGAGGCGGGACAGTATTCCGCTATCCTCTTAGGCAGACGCCTGGTCGTGTGTCCGAGGTATTTTGCACCACAGATGCAGGTGAACTGATATACACTGAAAGAGCCAGCATGAGTCAGGAGTCCGTAGTTGAGGCTTTTAGTAATAAACGAAACAGTCTCAGCAAGAGGGTGGACTCTTGCAGCCGGATAGGTTTGATTCACAGCGACGGACAATCTTTTTACAGTAACTCGTATGCAATATATCTTTCAAATGGAACCGAAACGAAGATCACTTTTTTCTTTACAGTCGGTATTGGTTTAGACGGATCAGAAACAGCAGAATGTTTGTGGAGGAATGTCTTGGGATAACAATTTTGTAGCATGGTAAGAACGAAATTCTTCTCAACATTCAATGTTTTTGAACTCCAGATTGTCGCGGCGCGATAGTAAAGACAAATCACAAGGTTTCTCTTGTATTTCATGGGCACAACACGAAGGAAGTGCTTATACTGGCCCACCCACGCAGACTTGCGGAATACTCTGCTCTCAAGCAATTAGTCAGCTCGCCGCCGTAGTAACACATCCGAAAGTGCGGTTTCACTATCGTTCTCTATTTCACAAGTGAATTTTAACGCTGGATGCACACGGTTGAACTGGTCAAGCATCTGGATGTGACCAATCTGTGGGTCGCATACGATGAACGTGTCATCCATGTATCGTCGATAGAAATCAAGAGAGGCGATAAGGTTCTACATAGGGTCACGCTCGATTTCGCGAGAAAAGTAATGGCACAGGATAGTAACTCTGGGACATTACCAAATGTTGAGGCCGCTGCTTCATCTGCGCACATCAAGCAGCACACGAGGGCACCGGTACAAGCTTGTCGTACCGGATTTGAAGCGGGTCGCCAACCAACTCTGTTTCGAACGGAGAGTGGTGAATGTTTGAAACGACCTGCCGCAGCACGTAGTTGAGGCAAAATAGGTGCCGGAATTTAAGAAGTTCCTGGACACACACGCTGTGGAGGCAAAATATATTGAGCGCAACCCAACATAACGGTTCTTTGTTCCTAACAGACATTACATGCAGCTACACAGAGATAGCACTTTTGATACTTTCAACCAGTAATCAGTAATCGACCTTATATTACATTTAGATGGAACTTTGCGTGTTGCAATGCATTACGATACGTAGTAGAAAGTTAAGCAAGTTTTTTCACTGCCACCGCAAAAAAATATAGTCCATAGCGCGTTGTTTAACGGTACCTATCCGAAAATCAGATTCAAATGGCCAACCAAAGGCGTGCGGCAGAACACACGGAAATAAACTAGACAAATGTCTTTTAGAAGGTTGCTAAATTTTAAGACTAAAAATAGGGTACCAGAAGATGACTAGCTAGGGAGTATGTGGTAGGGTGCTGAGTGTGATCGGAGAAACGACGTTCTATTCGAAGCCCGCGGACATATACCGGATGTTGTCGATGTGTCTTATACAAACACGTGCACCATACAAACATGCAAACCACTTACTTCCCTACTACATGAGAAAACTATGATTTCATAGTATTTAGGATTGATTTACACATCAAGCAGGGGAATCTGCAGGTCACTCCAAGTCTCCCGAGTACCTAATTTTGCCAACTGACTGGTCTTGTACTGTAAGCTGTGACTGCTGTCTCCCAAAATATTGTCCAGTAGCTGTCAGCCACCATTAGGTCACCAAAAGACCTTTGAAATAAAGTCCTGTTCCATGTCCCAATCAATTCTATGCTGGTGCAACGGTACTTTAAAAAACTAAACATTGTTCAAAATTCCTGGCTAGCAGTGTCCTTTTGCTTCAAGCTTCCGTTTCAACTTCGATTACATATGAAAGTCACCATATTCTCTATTCGTTTCAATATTAGAAGGTTACCTACATATAGTTGAATTCTTGAGTATGTATTTGTAAACGATCTTACTCCTATCAATCCGTCTAACCAGTTCTGTTTTCTCCTTTGACGCACTGGTTCGTAGATGCACTACGCCTTTCAAGCTGATGTCTCTGCACCGTCGTCGTTACTCGCCAAGTTTTTCCGTCAAATTGTGATTGGCCTACCGACAAGCGTTTGTATTCATTATTATGTTTTATAATTCCCCATACTTTATCTTCTTCTTTGTTTCACTGTTGGTCATGACTGGGCTGATCTCTTGTGGTGACGGATTACAGCTTCCAAAATAAAAAGTATACCCATGCAAATCATGTTACTACTGACTCGCTGGCTTAAAACAAAAAGAGTGCCGTACTTGATTGATCCGCACGACAGAAGGGGCTGTGGCTTCATCGCCTATAATGTCTGCATAAAACAACCCTTAAAAAACATTTGATACCCAGTCTGATGGCCTATTTACCATTTTGCCACGCCGGCACAGAGCCAATTGGAGCATGGAAGTGCGGGTGAAACCCATCGTGGGAATACCCTGCATGGAAGCAAGTCCCCCCGGGACAGTTCCATGGATGACCGTATTACTTTACTTGCAATTTCCGTGAAATCTAATTTTATTATCGCTCCCAGTTCCTTTATCTCTCTACTATTTTCAAACTGCTAATCACATTCAAAACCCATATGGGAACCATTGAACAAAAGAAGTAAAATTAACTATATTATGCGATCACGTTGTACATGTCGATAAGACCACCCAATTGGTCTGTGCCTCGTACTGCTGAGGAATAAAACGTTTATTTATTCATTTATTTAATGCTCATGCATCCAAAGAAGAAAATTCCCGGCATAGACAATCACTTTTATAGCACGGACGACATCTATAACTCCGTATTTTCAATTGACGATCTAGTCGCATTTGCGAGGTAGCTCAAACAATGCTTTGGATTTTTGTGGTAAAAGGCGGAAATTTTCGATTTCTTTCCTAGTTAACTGAGCAACTTGTTAGCTGGGCTATAAATAGGGTAAGTTTTGCACCGTTCCTGAATGTGGCTAAGTTTACAGTAATATTGACTGCATGTTTTTTACTTTAATGTATTCGTTCTTTAGCTGCAATTGTCATCCCTACAGGTACGTAGCCGGTTAGCAGACATACCTGTAACGTTAGAAAGTAGCTCAGCTAATTCATCATCGTCACTTTCAATCGGCAGACTTAGGCTAGTCTGAAAAAGCACCAGACGCCTGCGTTTCGACCTTCTGGGTCTCGTCAGTGGTGCGCCTCCTATCGCACCCCTGCCTGGTTCCGCCTACTTGACCTCAGAATGCCAGCAGCTAGTGCCATTTCGCCATGCGTGACAGCGGCGGACGTACGTGATTGAGAGTTGACTATGATATAGCCCGGCTCACATTTCACTGCCATACCAGTTACGAACTGTGCTGAGCAGAGTGGCTAGCGCACGAGCTAGGGCTTCCGCATAGCGCCTATGTATGACATAGGACTTAAAAGCCATATGAACAACTTGCTAATACTGATGAGTAGGAGTGAGGATTTTGGTGTAATTCAGCTAATTCGTCATTGATTGAAGTATACCAAAATCCACACTCCTACTCAGCAGTAAGTTAAAAAGCAAGAAGGCGTACATTGATTGTCGCTTTCTTTTACCCTTAATTCTTTCTTCTCTCCAACACTAAATAATAATAATAATAATAATACTAATGTGTCAGCTGTACGCCGTAACGGCGCTTCGCTGCCGCGCGACCACTACCAGTCGCGCGCGGGCTGAGTATACCGCGAGTACGCCCACCCCTACGCGGATTCGAACCGGTGACCTTATGGTTGCTAAGCAAACGTGCAGATCACTAGGCCACCGGCCGACATCTTCAGCACTAGTTGTCTTGCTATCTTCCGTGCTTCCTTCCCTGTCATCTTTATCTTGACTTCTTGCTAAATGCTTGTGTAATGAGCATCCACCCCCCCCCCACAGTCTATTACGACCCGATGCAATAGTTGGACACAGGAAAACTTGAAAAGCTGGACCCGAGGAACGCTGCGCGTATCGCGTACCGTTGGAGTTCTGTAAGATGTACGCTTTTGATGCCTGGCTTTCTGTAGTTAGTTACACCCTGCTGTTGCTGCCAAATTGCCGTTTTCTTCAACTAATCGGCGAACTTTTGTCCCCTGGTATCGCATAGCTTCTACAGCCGCTCTGTGGCCTCATCCGTGGTCATGAATGAGCCCCCTAGGTCACGTGATTCATGTTTGCGTGAGCGCACGTGACTCCAGTTCTGTCGATGACCATTCCAATCACATATCAGACAAGCCTGAACATGATTTTTAACTTGAGGCACAGGTTTGCGAGTGCCAGAAACAAGGCCCGCCAACCGGTTCAGACAAAATCACCTCCGGAGATTGAAGAAGCTTCAGCGAAGGAGAAAAGCCAATCAGTCCACACAGAATGGAGAGTGCTGATGACAAATTTGGCAGACAGTCGGGCACACATCTACAAACTCCGCGTCAAAAGTAATGAAATCAGGGGTAAATATGATAGACCAAAGTGTAAGATTGCGCGGTCTAGTGAAGAAGCCTATGGAGTGGATTTCCTTCTGGGTATCGAGCTGTGCTCTCTTGAGTTACTCTTCAGTTTGGCCGACCATCTCAGATATCTGGAACGTGAACTAGAGAAGTATTGTAAAATGGTAAGGCGGCAGATCTGTAAAAACCGAGCAATGAAGAGGAAAGTTTTGCGGAGGCATGAAGAGTGGTTGTCAAAAGCTGAGGAATGCCAACAGCTGGAAAAGGAATACAGCGCATGGCAGTATGCTTTGACTTTAGAAGATGCAACATTTTCCGTGTTGTACAAACTTGAAGACTGCACGCTGATAGATGCTAAGCACTGGGTTAGAGTTGAGCCAGATACGAGAACAAAGCTAAACGTTCTACCATGGATCTGGCTTCCAGAGGGAAAGTGTGGATTTCAATGTCGTGTTGTCGAGAAATGGCACAGGAAGGAATACCAGGATGCCGTTCTTGTTACGTTAGATGTTCTGAGCACACAACAGATACGTCCTGCCACACAACAACATAGAAGTCGGCGGTCCTCAGTGGTCGAAATAACGAAAGCCGTGGGCTTCTGTGCCGAGCTTTCAAGTAGATGTCACCAAGCAAACCAGGAGTCGCTCAGCCTCAATTGTGCGGACCATTCGGTCAACCTTCTAACCTTTCTCACTCCCAGCAAACTGTCGAAATCCGCTGAGCCAGTTGAAGAGGACGACAGGTACGTTCAAATCACAAAAGCACTCAGCACCGCTGACATCCAAGAAACTGATTGGGCATTGGTTATGGAAGCGACCAGAAAGCTGGTCAGTGTGCTTTGGGGCTTGGGAAAGCAAGTGGACGCATTGGCTTTATTGCTAAGTGTGTTAAACGCGCGTAAAAACTCCTTAACGACTCTAAACCGAACCGCTTCAGCAAGCGGCTATTCACTCTTTGGATGTCTGCTTACCGGGGCACTCATGATGTTTGCCGGCCAAGTAACTTTGAGCACCTGTCATCTGAAAAACTATCAAGATCATGTAAGTCTGGGCTTGTTGGAGCTGGGCATGATTTATTCTGAGGGAGCCCTTGCTTCCTCGATCCTGGAATCCTTGAGCTTGAATGAAAAGACCAGGGAAATTTTCAGGACCACACAAATCCAATCAACCTTTCTTCAGTGGGCTTTGCACATAGAAGGTCTGGTCAGACTGTGTGCAAGCATGGGGGCCACATTCGACGTCTTATTACTCGCATGGAAGTTGCTCAAAGTTATGGCTTTTATTAAACCGATGCAAGATGAAAGTGCGATGCTCATAGATAGACTGCTCCTTATGGCTTTTCACGCAGAGGAGGAGGAATATCGTCGGGAGTTTTGGTTAGAAAACGACAGGGACTCCAGGATCGATCAATACGTAAAGGGTCTGACATTTGTACAAACTTCAGGATCAGTAGAATCTATCCTGAATGAAGTCGTGCTAGTTTGTAGGGGCCAGAGATGGGACACTGCGGCTGCTTTCATCCATTGGTGGATAACCGGCTGTTACATGATGCGGCGTGCCCTCAGCGTGCGACAAAAACGATCGAGACAAAATCCGACTTTTCGAGTCCCATTTGCAAAATTTGAACACATCGTAGATATTACTACGGCTCCTAGCGCACGTCGAAATGTCACAGTGAATTTTCTGTATTTTTTGGCCTGTGCTTCAACAAGAAACGGTACTGTGGACAACGCAGATGAGGCTCAGCACAGCTCCTGTCTCAGAATAGGTAAGTACAGGGATTGTGGTCCTGGTGACATTCTGTGTGATTTCTCTCATACCAACACAGATCCCAGAATGATCGCTTTATTTCCTGCATTCAAAATGGCGGTCATTGAATTCACAGCAGTTATCCAGAGGCTATGTGTAGAATATGATACACATGATATGTTCTCAGAAAATTATTTGCAACTACATTCCAACCGCAAACTACTTTCCTGGTGGCAACACGGTGCTACGGACCAGCGGGGGTCAGATGCAACAACATGGCGACCTGATGAAGTGTTCATCAATAAACAGGAATTGATCCATTTGCAGGATGAAACAATCGGACATGTGGGCAGACACTTTCACTCGGTTTTATTAACAAGTGGAACAAAAGCCGACAGTCAATTGTCAAGCGTGTTTACAATAAATAAGCCACGCAGAGCATGTGCCCATCTACAATTTACCCCCTATCCTGTTGTAGATTCTCTAACGCCTATGGTGTTTACCTAATGAAATGCGAACAGCAAAGTATAGACCAAGTTAACGCTGATGGCAGTTGTCAATAGCTGTCTGGATAGAATGTCCCTCTTCCATGCTGTAAAAAAAGCAAGCGCAAAATTAAACATTAACGGAAACTTGGTGACGACAACAAATACAACCAGTGTTCCTCGCGCATTGTGTGTTATGCTCAGGTACGCAACTTCATGAACGCTACCACGCGTCCGTCCACACCAGATGTGCAAATGTAAAGCGCTAATAAAGTATCCTTTTTACATGAACTATGTATCTTGTTATTCTGGTCAGCAAAAATCTACTGGAATTGGTGCCCCAAGGTGGCTGATCAAATTGCGCTATAGTACTGCACATATTCTAGTGTAATGGTTAACGAATAGCTCCAGATAACCTCACCAGAAGGATTGAATCGAATTCAGACAAGGGGATTTTTGCGCTGACCTTTGGCTTGTTCCCAGTTTGACTAGTCCCACAAAGATTTCACACCACCTGGCGGAATAGTTGGACGATGGTATTCCAACCGTAGACTGGACTTGGCAAGCAGACGAACGGATCTCATCACGATGCAGGAAAAAAGTAGAACACGCGGGTGGTAGACCTAGAAGTATCTTACGTAAAACTGTCAGTTCAGATAACCTGTACAACGCCAGTTAAAAAATGGAAAAATCTTTAAATGCTACACCGGAGTTAATAGCTGACAAGGCGTTGGACTCACCAGACACCAAAATGAAGCTTAAAGCAAAAAAATGCGAGGTCAGAAAACGTTTGTATTTGAAACAGTAAAAATAAATGGATTGCTCTGTGTCATACTCGATTGACCGAGATGGCTTTCTTCTATAAACACGATTACTTGTGCACAGCTAGGAGCACAAAGTATTTGACTTTTCGTAACTGTACACGACCGAAAGCGATTTAATTAAAGGATATACCTAAATATGTAGTTCTATGTAATCTGTCCCATACCCATTGCGTGTTGTTTTCTTTCATCATACTTGGAACAGTAGAACAATGGTATATTACGGGTAAAATAAAGCAGATGTTTAGCAAGTCCCGTAGGATGGCCAGAAAAAGAACCGAAAAATGGTGCATAGAAAACAAAGGGATAAAATGAAAATCGTTTTGAAGGACTCACCACAGTATCCACACAGAGGCATGCATAAAGGAGCCAACCGCGGTTGTGTAGGTTAGTGCTGGTTGTGCAGCGTTCATCACATTATTTGTCTGTCGAGGTACACAGGCTCTATCTCGTAAGGTAGGTGAGTTATGGCAAGGTCAATGTGTGTTTTAAACACAGCTAACTTGGGGGCGGAAACAACGTAATTTGGCAGGGTGTTCCAAAGCTGACACACACGAAGAGGGTCCAATTTCCGTCGACATTCTAGCAGACTGTATTGCGTGGCTAACTTGAACTGGTGGCCCCTCAAATTCGTGTTGTGTCTCAGTTGTAGTAAGTGGCGGAAGACCTGGTTGGGTTCCTTGATATCTGGTAGGCCATAATAAGGTAGCCACGTAAGCGCCGGTACCGGCCCCTGTATAAGTTTATAAGGAAGGTTGAACAACTCCTTAACGTTTTTCGTGGCCCGTCGCTATGGTCTCGAGCACTGCAAGGTCTTGTTTGTGCCACGGCTGCCACACCTGGATTACGTATTCCACATGAGGCTGCGCGCATGTGTTAAGCAACTGCAAACAAACAGAAGGATCAAATCGTCCGAATGCATCCGTAGCATGCCGTGTTGTTGATTGTCAGTCTTTAACGCCTTCTCAGATTGTTCTGAGCAGCTCAGCTAAACCTGGATTAGTAGCCCAAGGTCGTGCTCCTGGGTGGCTACTTACAGGATATGGTCTCCAAGATTCTATGTGATGTTTGGCTGGTGGCGAATGTGGACCACCTTACAGTTCCCCGAATTGCACTGGAGCAGATTGTGGAGTGACCACGGATATGCTCTGTTCAGGCCTCGTTGAGATGCCTAGCGTTCTCGTGGGGTCAACGATCATCCGCCACATCTTAACATCATCAGCGAAGAGCAAGAATTCTGAGGCAATCAAACGCGTAAGCTGGTTACAGAACAAGGGAAACAGACGCGGTCGCAGAACTGTTTCATTTGGAACTCCACATTCCCTATGAATGGGATCGGATCGCACACTCCAAACTCTGATCCGATCCTGCAGGAAATTTCTGATGTACCCAAAGACTGAATCGCTAACTCCATGGCTGTCGAGCTTGTGAAGCAGGATGTGATGGTCTAATCGGTCGAAGGCTTTGGAGAAGCCGAGGTAAATGACGTCTGTCCCTCCACCTTTATCTGCGGCTTCCGTCCAAATACGGCGTGCAATCATTAGGTTGCTAGTGCATGGACAGTTTTGGCAGAAACCGTGTTTGCTCGGTTACTATGATGTTGTGGCGTTCTAGACGGTCTACTAAAGCCTCAGCGATGATTGCCTCCATCACATTTGAGAGCACAGGGAGTAGGATCACTGGGCGATAGTTGGGGGTTCCGAGCGATTACCACTTTTGAAAATTGGAGCGATTAAACCATGTTTCCACATGGTAGGCACAATTTGGTTATCCAAGCACGTTTGGAAGAAGTGCGATAGTGGCCCGGCCAACGTTGTTGCTGCTATGTTCAGTGTCCTCGGGTAAATACATTCGATTCAGGGAGAACTGTAGGTGTGCAGTGAGAGCAGTTTCTTCAACACAGCTGCGGTAGTATAACCGATCTTAGTGAGTGTTGAACTTGGGGCTGGGGATGTGGGTAACAGGAGCGGGCGTCTGGTTGGTAGGTTGGGGCATACTGCATTCGTAGGGAGTTGGCTGCCTCTCCAGCACTCTGTGTCATTCCGACTGGTTCACTTCCCGAATGGTGTTAACATGTTTATATAGGTGCTTTTGGCTGTACTCCGATTTACACTCCAAATATTGTTGGTGAGTCAGTTGGTCCTCACGGACATGCATGTTAGAATGGTTGCGTTGAGTCACGTAGTCCCTCCAGATTTCAGGGCCATGACGAGTTCTGTAAGTGTTCCAAGCTGCATTCTTTAGTGCCGCGCCCTTGCGGATTCTACTTCTGATAAAGGACGAGGGATTAGTAAAGCGAACCCTCTTCGTTGCTGAAGCAGTTGCAAGTAGATTGCTGGAGAGTCCGACAAACTGAATCCAGGCGCTGTCAGGTGAGTCACTTTCCAGGAATTCCCAATTGGCTATCTCAGCTAGGTCGTTCAGGATTTTGTAAGGTGTGACAGTACGTGTTAGTTCTGTGTGTTCCTCCCGCTATTCAGCGTAGCACACATAGTTATAATGTGTGGTGACATGGTCACTTAATCCTAGTGTGATGTCTGTAATTGGCCTGGAAACCATGAGTTCTCTATTCGTAAGTACGAGGTCAAGTACCGATGTTTTGTTATCAGCTCTGTACCTGGTGGGTGAGGTGACGTGATTGTAGAGCGAAATACTTGCAATAAAGTCTTGCATTTCTACCTTGTATGTTTCGCTGGGCATGCGGAAGATTTTAAGTTCGTGTACGTTGGAATCGTAGGAGATAAGGACGTGGCTGTAAGTTGGGAGTAAGCATTTCGTAAGTAGTGATATTAGGGTCGGCTCGTAGCCCAGAGGTAACGAGCTTGTCAACTAATCTTGGGGCGAGGGTTCGAATCCGTATAGGGTTGGACGTCTTCGCGGTTTACTCAGACCGCCTGCGACTGGTAGTGGTCGCACGACACTGAAGCGCCGTCAGCACGTACAGCTGACACATGATTATTATTATTATTATTATCATCTTAGTTGGGAATCCGTGTTTGAAGTGGACGATGGAGAGCGATATACGACTGCCACGAAGCAGTTTGTGTCTGACTGAAACGGCACTACAGGGAATCGGTGACCCGCGTCTCCGGATCATCTAATGGTTCACATTTTAAGTCGTTGCCATAGTATGTGATAAGACTACCATCTGCTGGGACGATCGTGTCGGAACAATGACATTTCCTAAATGGCGATCTTCTTCATCCGTAACCTCGGGGTGCAACCAAGTCTAGGTTATGGAGATGATGTCCCAAGCGTCCGCTGCCTGGCGCAACCGAGGCTCGGTGATTTTTTTAAGGAGGCCTTGGGTACTAGTGTACACGCAGAAGTGTTTCGGTTCTTAGCAGCGATACGAATGAGGTGGTTAGGAAGAGAGGTTGTACTGCCGATTGTCTAGTCGGCCACTGGCAGTACTTTTGGGTAGTAGCAGCCAGTCGCCTGGAGTTGGGCTCAGTGCATCGTGATTATACCCTCTGCCAACTCAGTTTACACAATCCATGGTGAGAGGTTGCAGAACTGCAGAGGAAGATCCTCGCTTCCTTCGGACCTGCTTCCGGTGTGCATTTCGGATGGGATGCCCACTTCGTTTGGCTGCTACGGTGGGGCTTTAAGTCGAACTAGTGTTTCGCTCGTCGCTTTGAACCTGGGCTCGGTTGACAGTCTGTTCCGAAGTGAATGCCAGCGTTCCAATAGCAGAAGTGCCATCTGCTTAGTTTTGAATCCAAGTTTAAGTATCCTTGGACCGCACCCTTTGTAGCTTTCTGATCTTGACAGCCTCGATAAAGAAGTAGCTACCACGTCATTTAAGAGTAGGGTGTCACGAATAGAACCCCACTGCTCCTGGGCGTGTGACTTTGCTCCGTATTCATCGTGCTCGTAAAACTGAGGGATGCCATGGATAAGAAACAGTTCTGGCCGCCGTGTTCATCCGGAACTCTTCTGAGTTCTGCTTTGCTGGCTTGAGCACGGCCCTGGAACGTATGGAAAGACGCGTACTAAAGTGAATTAGTCCTGGAGACCAGCAGTTGAGAGCAATGCTGCTTCTACATAATCGGTAGCTTTTCGCACAATCCGAAGTAGCCTGGCTTCGCCATAATGCTTGAAATTCGGTGGCAGGTAATTCTCATCAATTTGGAGGGGGTTTAGTCAGAATACCGAGCAGCTTACTTATGATGTCCCATTGGTTTGGGTCATCCACCTGTTTCCCCTTCAGGGAATTTGATATGGACTCCGGAACGTTGGTACATGCTATGGAAAGGTCATCCAATTTTTCTCAGTGTCTTTCCTGGGAGTAAGGACTGTAGGTTGGAGACCCAGCCAGTTGCTGTGTATACGCGTAGTGTTGCCTTTCACAGTAATTATGGGTGTGGTAATAGCAACAGCAGATGCTGACTTGGGAGTGCTCTTTGTCGCAACAACGGTCCAGATATCACCAATATTAGAATTTTGGCTGGGTTTCAGTGACCTT